GCTGAACCAATCCTGCAATACCCCACTCCGCCCACTGGGAATCACTGGTTTACTAATTTCTAAATGTGATGCAAGTTGACGAGAACATTTCCCAACATTCTTTTCCAAAGAACATCCATGCTGTTATTTTCCCTTCAATAGTTCATGTTAATGACTCACAGGATTCAGGATCAGTTTAACTCTGTTCAAAATGGGAGCAGATGATGACGACCCAAAACTGAACATGAAAAGAGGGCACGGAGAGAAGCAGCAGCAGCAGCAGCAGCAGCAGTCCATAAGAAAAGAGCTCAGCTGGGAGACAGGACAGTGGGTTTCCCTTTTCAGAGCTGCCCACTATAAAACAAGCATTCCTCAGGCAGTGATGTACTCTGACAGAGAGGGGCCATTGTTGTGGTCCCTGCATGGCAACAGGACGGACGCCAAAACACAGCAGCAACAGCAGCGAGTGGGCAACAGACGTAGTAGGGGAGTAGTACTGCAGAGTAAACGGGAACACACCCCGACACGCAACTGTTGACATGAGTCCAGTCAGACTGTACATCGTTACAGACGCCACGCAAGAATACTGGGTTGTATTTGTTAATCATCACCTTCTTTGTGAATGGATGTTTAAGAAACCCAGTAAAAAATGATGAGCCACTTCACTGACCTATTAAAAAGGACTGAACAAGTGCAGACAGGCACAGTCATTAAAGGCGTCATTGCACCAGCGGGACTAACAAGGTGGATTAACAAACCCCACCGCCGGCGTCTCTTCCTTGATCACATGGCTCAGTTTAGCAGATGCAGATGCAGTGAAAGACGTTTGGTGTCGTCGACTGTCAGGATTCTCCTTAACCTTGGACTGGAGATGGATGATAACTGACGGAGACAGAACCATCACTTTCTCTAACTTAGTTAACAATACAGACAAAGAGAAGTTAACCAGCTCTGATATGTGGGCGGCACCGACTTGTGAATACCAATGAAAAGTGAACTTGTCCAGACGAAGGCTGCTTGTTGGATTCATGCTGTGTATCACAAGGGCTGGATGATTCATTAGGCAAATGCTACTAGACAATAACAGTGACGGCTCCACAGGGTGGAAGGGTTACATTAATGGTTCACCTAAAAATGAACCACGAGGATGAATGTGAGCGGGAACGGTTATTAGTCTCTTTATTCCTGCCGTAATTCCTGAGCACTAACAACCGTTCGACCTTGTGGTCCACATCTTTAATTATAAAAATGGGTTCATGACAAAATGTAAGTCTGTTCAACACCAAATGAGAAATGTTTTCATAAAAATGTTGGCCAAAAAAAAATATGTATGCACTGTATATGTGACTATAGGTCATTGTTTCTCGTCTCATCTCGCATCATGTTTCCCAGGATTTTACGAATAATGTCTATTGATTTGGGCCGCGAAGGATTATGACTTTTAAAATATTGATCCCCAGAAAAAAAAAAAAGTTAGGGAAACACTGCTGTAAGTGACTGCTTCAAGACTGAATGTCTGACCTCGTATAACCATCTGATGAAGACCCGTGCTCTGAGAACCTCGTCCACACGGTGACATGTCAACACAGCCAACGTGACTGGGACCAACTGTACTTCAAATGGAATGTCCCCGTTGTATTTACTCAGACGTTCTGAATGCAGTGACACATCTTCACAGAAACGTCTACGATGTCTGACAGCGATGTAAACTGAACCAAAACAAACCCACCTCTGTTCAGTCTGTTTCCAAAAAACAAATACACCTTGAGCTCGGCTCAGATTCATCATGTTCATGATGCTAGCTTAGATCTAAAGAAGTATCTGGACTGTCTGACGATGCGCTTCCTACTTAGTAATTACAGCAGAGAATCCCACATGGACTGCACCCAGAGGCCCAGTCCAGCCAAAAGCCATTAGACCACCCTGCTGCGACAACATCCCTTACATTATTTATGTTCATAAATCCATGAACATCACCGTTCTTCGACAAACTCCATTAGCCCGTAGCTTTATATCTGTTAGTAGGAGAACTTTTGGTCAGCGGTTTAACAGGTCGGGATGTGACTTGATTTGTTTCCAAACCCTTAATGACTTCCTGTAAACATATATGACTCAGAAAACCCTTCTGTCCCACACGGCTGTTGTCAGGTTATAGATGAATAATCCACTGAAAAAACAGAAAACCCACTCCATTAAATGCTTTTATACCTGCAATTATTACTATTTTAAATGTGTTCCTGGCACAGATTTTGTTGCAGAAAAAATCTGCAGCTTATTTGTTGTTAACTATGAGGGGATTACCTTGGGCTATGACTGATCAATGATCTCACCGATTAATGCGATCAACAATCAATGCTATCACTGCATTGGGACAAACATCTGAAGCCAAACTGGTGATCATGCACAAATGACACAACCACAGAATATTTTATAAAAAGGTCAATATAAAAAGGTAGAACAACATCCCTACCTAAATTCACTACTTCACAGTTTGGCATCTGACCCTGACAATGTTATAGAAATCATGACTCAGCAGAGTTTCAGCAATCGCCCTGACATGGACCTATGAACCAGACTATGAAGAATAAAACAAACAAACAAACACATGACTCGGTGACAGAAACAGAAACTATGACAGCTCATTCTTATGACACCGTTTGCTCATTAACAGAGTTAAACCTTCGGTTGAAATCAGCTGTAAACGCCAGTTGAATGTGACGACACACAAACCAATCACAGTCACTGTGTTAGTTCTGATATGACTGTGGCTACTGCTGTTCAGAAGTACAGTGCAGTACAGGGCAAGACATGAAATATTCATACAGCCAGTACCGAATTGCTTCTCTTTTATCTCCTGCCAAACTGATAGGAAAAGTCATTACAGCACGGTGTGCTAACTGCTAACAGAAATAAACAAACAGAAAAACAGAGTAAATGGGACGATGAGAACTGAAGAAAGAAGTAC